ATTCAATAATAGGTGCGTTCGTTTAAAATCTCCAGTGAAAACCAACCAACTGCCAAATTCCGGCGGAATGTCATCTGTTCTCTCACAAGAGAGAAATATCCAAAACAGTACGCGAACAGAAAATTTGCAGAAACTTGCAAGTTAGACGAACAGCTGATTTAATTTTTGTTTGCATTCAAAAGTGTAAAATTTAAAACGTACGAAAAGTCATCACAAAGTGTTATACTGACACAGTTTATTGATTAAACAAATAACTACTTATTTCTTACAAGTTTAATTAGTCGCATTCTGTAATTTTTAACTTCCAAACCATCAAATTCAATTTTGTGATTTGCGTAAATGGCAACCAGCTGTTTTTGATCAGCTGTTTTCCTGTTGGCAAATTGCTGTTGGCAAAAATTTTTCCAGCAGAAACCAGCAGGTCCCCTCAAAATGAAATGTCACTTTGCTCTCTTAATTTCCCCTACTTTGCAAGTTTTTTGCGTACGCGAACGCAAAAACGTGTAAGTTTTGGTTAAACATGAACAATTAACAGCTACGCGAACGCAACTAATACAAGGTTACTGCCATCCCTAAATTGGCGCGTCAAGCGCCAAACAACTGTCAAAAATCCTCATGCCCATACAATTTGTATGAAGCATCCCACAATAACGCGGCGCTAACGCCGAGCAAATGGAATTTTCATTTTTGACAGGGCGTTACGTGTTGAAGTTGGATGCGGAAGACGGAAAGAAAGAGAAAGGACAAAAAAGTGAAAGAGGAAACGAGAATAAAAACGAGAGGATCTGAGAAAACGTCAAAAATTACGACGCGTTGATTTGGGGATAGCGCGCGCTGACACTCGTCGACAATGGATAACGCAACGCTTAGCGCTCCAATTTAGGGACGGCAGTTAGATAATTATTGACAGCTGCGGTTTGACACTCCCTTATAAAAGGTTGCATTTGCGGAGGCCGCAGAAAGGGGAATAATGAAATCTCTTGGTGCGAAAATGGTAGTAGAAAAGTACGCAAAGTAGGCAAATTCCTTTTGTAAATTCTAATGTATTTGCAGGAAATATGGCATTTTAAACGAAATGTTGAACGTAATATTGATATATCTACGTGAATTACGCAATTTATGTGCTATTTAGCTGTATAAAAACTGCAAAATGACTCAAAATTAAAATAATACTATGTCTCCACTGTGAGATTTAATGAATATTTAGCCCTCTGAGGAGATTTAACGTTAAATCTTTTGGGGATTTACCATATGAATTTAAATCTCGAAAGGCAGTAGATTTAAGTTAAATCTTCCCTAAATCTTCAATAATATTGAACAATAAATACAATTTGTTGGGTGTGGCAACCACGAATTCACATAAGTCAAATGATATTTTTATTTTCGGTATACAGTTGCGGACATTGAAATCTAGCCTATTAAAAAACACGAATTTTCATATTTTTAAGCGTGTTTTTATATTTTAGTTGGTTTTAAAGGCAAATATTAATATTCAAATAACTGTGGTTGTAATAAATTAAGAAGATATTATTTCAAAAACTACAAATTCATATATATTATGATAATATCATGCTTTCTATAAATCTTTTACGCACGACATAAAATTTATAAAATTCGGTTATGGTTCTGCTTCGATAACATTACACTAAATATCCTCTAGAACTCAATTCGACTCCAGAAATGCATTGCCAGTCATATTTGCTAGCTAGGTCTTCGTGATATGCCAATGGCCAAAGATTGGATTTTCGGTTCCCTCTCATGAAGAAGAGAGTTTATTTCCTCAACAACTCTCTAAAAAATGTTCTTAAAGTCAGGAAAATTATTCGGAATACCGTACTATTCGTTACATTTCGCAAACTATATATTATACATATTTACCACGAATAAGAATCCAATAATATTAAGAATTCACATAATGAAATTCCGCTCCTGGTACCTTCCTTTTATCTGTCTGAATTTCCACGTCCGCAACTGTATTTATAAAATCATACGAAAGCAAACGTCAAATATTTAAAAACGTGAACGTCAAACATATCTCGTTGTGTTAATGGAGACGGTTGTGATTTAGCAACAGGATTTATTAAATCTTAATGGTTAAATCTCTCAGTGGAGACATAGTATTAGACTACTATGAGATTGATGTAAATATCCAATTTAAAAACAGTTTATGTTTTCATCAGTTAAATATGCTTCATATGCATATACAAATAAACATATTGCACAAAAGCTTATAGTACTTCTATTTCACACCAAAGCTACACGGTTTCCATGTAAATTTGCAAAGAAGCAACACGGTGCCACTGCTAAGGGAGCGGTGCGAGAGAGACAACTGTCAGTTTATCGATCATGCCGTGCATGATTATTGAATCATGCCGTGTATCACGATGCAGCGAACAAAGGTGGCGCCGTCAGTGGTACCGCTACTTTGGTTTTGCCAATTCTGACAGTTGTGGTAACTTGTAAATAAACCTTTGTTTACAAATCAGCGAAAGAGAAATTTTAATTATAAGTGAAAAATCAGTTTAAATTGTGTTAATTTGCAATTTGTGAGTGATTTTGAGTTGAGGACTGCGTAAAAACTAATACAATGAAGTGCTGTGTGTTAAATTGCGACAGCCGTCAAGATGCATGAAGCGTTCTGCAGTTTTCTGCAGCAGCCTTAATTGCAAAGCAATGGAGTGCACTAATATGTTCACTGTTCTCTAATAGATTAGGTGAAAAATGCAATATTTTCACATTTAGCAAAATTAAAACACGTTTTTCGCTGTAAAGTGAACTGCTTTGGCAGTTTCAACTCGTTCTTCTTTTCGCTCCATTCTTTGTTTACTTGTGGTACACAAATGTCAACGCCCAGGACGGCGCAATCTTGTATTCTATCATTCTTGGCCGTGTATTAACAAAATGAACAACTGCGTATGTGAGGTTGCATACATTATTTTGTAGAGAGTAAAAACACTTATATTTCAAAATGGTTCTCTTTCTTTACAAAGAAATCGCATTTGAGGACGAATGGATAAGGCTTGAGCCATCGGCGGTGGCGTGGCTCGACCCTATTAAGCTGGCATTTCAGGGTACTATTTTATATATATATAAGGAAATTTTGAAAGTTAGGGGGGAGGTCGAGCACCCCCTGGCCCTACCTGGCTACGCCCATGGCTTGAGCCAAGAGCTTATGTGAGCAAATCCAATTTTTGGCAAAAAATGTCAGTTACGCGGTTTTCCAGAACGACGATACGCGGTTTTGTACTTGAAGCGACGATATGTAAGTATAAACTTTCTTCATGCTTTCTGAAACCTAGTCGTCAACCTCAGTTTCGAAGTCATGTAGCCGGCATAATTTTCTAGTTCATCATATTCCACATCTTTGAATGTACTGATAAAATCTTGTGCTTAAAAAAAAAAATATTTCTTCTAGTGATCAGGTAGCATGAATTTGATGAAATGTCATAATGTTATTAAAAGTCAAATGGTTAGCAACAACAACGAATGTCATTAAATGAAACTACCTTATGTTTTGTATCATGATATACCCTCAATTTTCCCTGGTTAATTGTTCCTTACGCTTATTAATTTTTTTTTCTATAAAAATCATCTACAAATGTGAGGGCAAGTATACCTATTTTTTTTTTTTTTGTTAGATTGGCGCTTACACATACGTTAGTATTTGGCCGAGCTTCTCCTCCAATTTGTGGCGTGCGCCTTGATGTTAGCCCTGTTCGCGTACGCACTATCCAGTAAATCCAGTACTAATTTTACTGGATTTTTTACTGGATGTCGTTTTCGTACGCAAAAACTTGCAAGAAACTAGCAAAAGAGGGGAAATTGAGAGAGCNAAAATGACAGCTGAACTTGCAAGTTTTACTGGATTTTTACTGGATAAATTTTTACTAGAAACTATTTGCTAGTAAGAAAAACAGCCGATGGCATGATGCTTAATGTAATTCACATTAACAAAATAATTGTTTGTGGTGCTTTTAGAGTTGCAATTGACAAAATAAACCCATTTAAATATATAATAAGATGGAAAATACTAGTTTTCTAAGAAAATTGCATCGGAAAATAACAAATTAAACAGCTGTTCATAAAACTAGCAACTTCTTGCTGGTTTTGCGTTTTCGTACTTTCTTGCATATTTCACTCATTGGGAGTAAATATTGGCTTACTCTCCGAAATTTGGTTACTGGCAAGTTACTGGATATTTTTTGCTGGAGAATACGAAAACGCAGCTGTTGTCACACAAAGCGGAGGGTACGTACGATTGTATTTTTATGAGAAGCTGTTTTTCATGGCAGAAATACACTCGGAGGTTTGCCATTGCCTATTTTCGAATGTCAAATTCACCGACCAGCTAGTTACTTGCTATTTTCTGTTAGTTTGCGTTTCTTAACTATTACTTTATATCGCCCGTAATTCTATCAATGATCCCTTTCCTCTTTTTCCTGATAATTATCGGCTAGAAAAGTAAAGAAACAAAGCTAATGCTGCCAAATTTTTCAATAGCCCTGCTGGATAAACATTTCATAGCTGTCAAAAATTTTACTATCCAGAATACTTTTGTTTTAATTGGCACACGCCCATAATTACGCTAAATCATCTTTCAGGCATGAGCTGCTCAAGCCGCAACGTCGGGAAACCTTCTACAACTTCCTTTCCTAATCAAATGTCAAAATTGCGCTCCCTCTGTGCAAATTTTGGAAGGTCTGCGTAAACGAACGAGAATTTGCAATGGCTGCGTTTCTTTATACATTCCGGATAATCCCATTTCACAGCCGGAATAAACAGAATGCGTTTGAAATATACGTCACCATATCAACAGGAACGTTCTAAAGAATAAATATACAAAAAAGCTTATTCCAAACGTTCAGAATGAATAAAGAAATGCAGCCAATAACTTCTATAAGATTGTGCAAGTTGTCCCGCGCGAACACTCTTTTCGTTAACACTTCTATTACAAGTTGTCCCGCGCGAACACTCTTTTCGTTAACACTTCTATTACAATTCATGCAGTCAGCTGTGCGTGTCAAATTTGACAGTCCACGTGCAGTAGATCAGTTGTTTATTATTTTTAATATTCTTGTGTTTTTTACAGTTACGGCTCGATAAAAAAGCAAAATAGTGAGTTTTGGATAAATTGGGTTTTATTAACGTTCACATGATGCCAAAATTTTTTGTGCCTACATCGTGGGAGAATCTCGCAGATGCGATGAAGTTCCGCTCTAAGGTTTCATTGAATGGAGTCAAGGATGCAGTCGGTGACGGTTCGCCGGTACAGACTAATTTACACAAGAAGTTAAAACGGGTAAATGGTAATCTTATCACAAGCTCTAAAGCAGGCAGTTTCGACAAGGCGAAAGGTAAAAGACATTTATGCAAACCTGAAAAGGTGCAAAATGGTCGGATTACGAAGCCAAATTCCGTTAAAAATCTAAAACATTCTAAAGTTAAGATAACGCCGGCACCTTCATTAGCATTACCAGTTTCATCAACATCAGCCACCAAAATAAAATCTACCGTAACGGCTAAGCGGAGGAAGCGCAAACACCAGTCAGAAACTAGGGAAAAGAAGGCTCTGCAAGTATCAGTGGCGAAAAGCTCATCGTCTTTGGAAGCCAGTAATAGTGAAAATGAAAAAGTGGCACTTGCGAGTTTGCATGATATTGGCTTAAAAGTGTTCGAAAATTCACTGAAACAACAATTGTTGGGTGGCCGTTTTCGCTATATAAACGAACAGTTATACACCATGGATAGTGCAAAAGCGGAAGAGTTTTTTAAATCAGATGTTGATGCATTCGATGCCTACCACACCGGCTACCAATTGCAAGTTGAAAAGTGGCCAATGAATCCACTCGATCGTATAATAAAAGTGATAAAACGATTACCTAAAGCTTTGGAAATAGTAGATTTTGGATGTGGGGAAGGCCGTTTGGCTAAATCGGTTCCTAACAAAGTGTACTCTATGGATTTGGTGAGCACGCGTGACGACATCATAGCTTGTGATATGGCGCATACGCCGCTCAGCAATCAGTCTGTAGATATAGCCGTATATTGTCTCTCATTGATGGGCACTAATCTAAAGGACTATTTGTTAGAAGCGAACCGTGTATTAAGGCCTAATGGACTTGTAATAATCGCCGAGATACAGTCACGCTTCGATGATTTGCGGCAATTTATCCGTGGTTTGTTGGCTTGTGGCTTTGAATTGGTCAAAAAGGACATTAACGAGAAGCTATTTTACTTTTTTCAATTCAAAAAGGTACGAAACGTGGGCAAAGTCGCTTTGATACCTCAATTTTCGCTTAAGCCATGCTTATATCGCAAGCGGTGAGTTGGCCTATATGCACATAATTTTTATAAACGTCTTTAGGTAACAAATATTCTTTTCGCAGTTGATGCAATTGGATTTGATCAAAAGCTGTTGCCAGTTTAATGAAATTGTTGAAAATGTATACTCCAAATTATACGCATAGTGCAGTAAATTAATGAATATGTTAAATAAATTATAACTGCATTTAAATGTTAAAGGTATTTTTCTATTTTTATATATTTTATATAGTACATACATATACATATATAATTTTTTACCTGATTGGCACAATCTGGAAACAACTTAAACAAATAGATACTGCCACTGCTTGAAATAATACTTACGTTAATGGGCAAAAAATAGGTGTGCGGCTCTTGTTTATTTAATGTTTATTAATTTTGTATAAAAGTCCAGCACAGTATATCGCACAGCTAGATCTAAAGTGCGCGTTGCCATGACAGTGGCGAAGGACTGCCATTCCAGCATCACTCCCCAAAAACTCTTTGGGGAATTTGTATACTGCCATAACAACAACAACAGAGACAGAGACTGCCACTACTAGAAATAATACTTACATACATTCATGGGCAAAAATAGGTGTGCGACTCTTGTTTATTTAATGTTTATTAATTTTTTGTAAAAGTCTAACACAGTATATCGCACAGCTAGATCTAAAGTGCGATCTACTGAAAAGAATTTAGGACGATTTTTTGCATAAATCAATTCAAAGGGCTTACCCCCAATTAATACAAATATTTTTTTCTTCATGAATATATAAACTAACAAAAAAATATTGTTATACCCGTTTTTGTTCTAATTGCGTTGAATCTGTTCGATTTTTCCGGATTTTATCTGGAATAAAAATTTGTAGTAGATTATGTCATTGGTTGCCTCGCAATGCCAAAGAAAATCCCAAATTTTGACGAACGACTGTCGTTTCGACAATCGGAATAGCGCCGATTATATGAAATATATAACTGCATATGTAACAATTTTCTACAAATTCTGTTAAAAAGTTTAAAATTATGATCAAAAATTGTTTATTTTTCAAAGTTTCATATGTGGATTTATATTGTGGGTGTTCATACTTCCCTGGTTATCAAGTTGTCTGCTTGTGTAGTTATATTTTTTTATTCAGATTACAACAATAAAATACACTTCCGAAAAATGATTTTTAACCTGATAACTAGGCAAGGCTGAACACCCACATTGGCCCTGTTCACAACCTGGACGAAGGAGGTCAGGCTACCGCTGGGGATTCACGTCGATGACACACCAATTCCGACGGTGAATAACCCCAAAATACTCGGAGTAACATTCGACAGCCTGCTCTCCTTCTCTGCGCACTCAACCGCTATTGTCAATAAAGTACAGAGCCGCAACAAGGTCCTCAAGTCGCTAGCCGGCAGTACTTGGGGCAAAGACAAAGAAACGTTGCTGGCAACATACAAGGCAATAGGCCGGCCGGTTTTGAACTACGCAGCGCCAGTGTGGTCGCCAGGGACTAGTAGGACGCAGTGGACGAAGCTACAGACGGTACAAAATACGGCACTTAGGACAGCGACGGGATGCCTCCTGATGTCGCCTGAACACCACTTGCACGGCGAGGCGCAAATGCTCCCAGTTAAGGAGCACAACATAATGCTCTGCAAGCAGTTCCTGATCGGGAGCCACAGAAGTGGCCACCCAAACAGACAGCTGCTTGCAGAGGAGCCCTCGCCTAGGCACGTCAGGAGGCATCTATATGAACTGACGGACGAAGTCCAGAGGTTCATTAAGCAACCTCTGGACCCGACAGCGTACAGACAGGCCCTGAACGGCATTCACAGGGACTCAGTCTCGAGTTATGTAGACTCTAGACCTGTGAATGCCGTTCTAGGCATACCACCCCCGGACATTGACGAGACAGAGCTTCATCTGCCTCGGGAGACACGCACTACACTTGCCCAACTTCGCTCCGGCTACTGCAGCAGGTTAAACTCCTACTTGAGTAGGCTGAATGAGGATGTGCCGAACGAATGTCCGGCATGCGGAGAGACCCCACATGACTCGAACCATCTCTTCGCATGCCCGGAAAACCCGACAACCCTAACGGCCCTGTCCCTGTGGACAGATCCCACAGAAGCTGCACGCTTCCTAGGGTTGCCGTTAGTGGAACTTGACGACAACGACTGAGATACCAACCGATCTGGGCGGGGTTGTTGTAGCCGCTACAACAACAACAACAACAACAACCCACATTGGCAAGACTTATGGGGCCCTAAACACATTGGAGCAAAGTTGCCAATTAATTCGAAATGTACATGTCAAAAAAGTAAATTCAGATCTTTTATGCGTGTTCTCTATACTGAGATTAACCGCTATAAATAATCAGAGTTATCACAGAATCCATCGTAGCTTCCTTTTTAATGTGCCTTTGTTTTCGTGTTTCCATTCTCAAATTTTTACAGCTTACTCCATAAAGTTTGCCAACTATTCAGGTTGAAAAAAATAAAAATCTAACATGATGAAGTTAATAAGAAGGAAATAAAAAAAATCCGAATTTTAATCTATGTCACACTCTCATTGAAAGCCGAGGTAATTACGCACATTTTGATACCTTAACTGATTTTCTCCGACAAATAGTTTATTAACTGCAAACAATTAATTCAATTCAAAATTTCGGGAATTTTTTTTCGAGATTTTCGAATATTATGACGAAATAAAAAATAGGTGTCTTCTTTTCTTCGATAAAGAACGTAAAATAAATATATTTCACCCCCAAAAAAAAATATTGAGGTGTAAATATTGTATGGAAGGATCCATACGTAAAATGTAGAGTTACATAAAAAACTGGTGCATATGTTGTCTCGAATTCGATTTGCTATGGAAGGATAAGCTTTGTTCTTCCCCTCCTCTGTAGTAATGCAAATGTTGTGGAGTACTCAAACTACGTTTATAATTTCACTAGCTTTGAGCGATGAGTAATACAGTTCAAGATGTATTTCTTAAGATTCTTCACTCATCTGAAAAAAGGATCAAACATGTCCCTAAATCCGAGTTCATTCGGATTCAGTGATAACAATTTTTTCGTATTCGTAGCGGGCATTCGAATTCATAGATTTGCTACGATGGATTCTGTGATAGCACTGAATACAAAGTACGATACCGGTAGCCATGGCTACTAGACCAGCAACTAGACACCAGTCGCCATACATAATAGGGCCATTAGTCAAAATGTTGCATACCCGATTTTTGAAGTGAAACTTCTTAATGGAGTTCGGGATGGTTGCGTTAAATATTTAACACCATATCATAAAATCTGTATCGTTCGTTCGATTTTAAAAAATGAGGTGTCAAATTAAAGGGCTTGTCCTTTGGGTTCCATGAAAGGGGTTCCCACGTGTTAAAAAATCGAATTCAAAGTATCTCTGCTGCAGATGGTTGCGTTAAATATTTAACACCAAGTCACAAAATCTGTTTCGTTCGTTCGATTTTAAAACGTGAGGGGTAGGTATGTTAATTTTTCCGATTTTTCCGATCATGGCGTTGTCACAAATCCCGGGATCCCGGGATTAGTCCCGGAATTTAGATATTCATTACTTTTCAACAACTTGAATCGAAAAAATTGCTTCTTTATTGTTTGAAAAGCTCTCCTACCATGAAATAAATAATAAATAAATGGGGTTGAAACCTACTTTTTTATTTAAAGTGTCGGTTTTATTTTTTCTCTCTGACCGCAGGATTTATTTTGAAGGACTTTCAAAGATATGATTAATTCCAAAGTTAAAAAAAAATTCAATGCAATGTAAAATAAAAATATGGGTAACAAATGCAATAGGAAATTTCTTTAGAATTTAAATAATTTAAATTTTTTGGATTCACAACGACGAATAGGTAATTTTTAAGCTGACAAAGTTTGAAGAACGAAATTCGAGGATGCTATCGAGTAACATGTAATTTTTTCAAAAACAAATATTGCGAAATTTCATCATATTATTCATGATAAAATTTTAAAATGACATTTTCAATATTTACCAGCCCTTCTGTACCANTAATTTAAATTTTTTGGATTCACAACGACGAATAGGTAATTTTTAAGCTGACAAAGTTTGAAGAACGAAATTCGAGGATGCTATCGAGTAACATGTAATTTTTTCAAAAACAAATATTGCGAAATTTCATCATATTATTCATGATAAAATTTTAAAATGACATTTTCAATATTTACCAGCCCTTCTGTACCAGAAACCAGTGATCGGACATGGAAAAATTCTGAGTGGTAGAATCCAGAAAAAAATGTAGATTTCAAAAAAAATCTGGTAGATCTCAGGTTTTGTATCAAACTTTGTACAAAAATTAAAAAAGTTCTGTAAGTTTTCACCTAAATTGCACACTTTTTAATTAGACTATAAAAAAATTTATTTTAGTGTAACAAAATGCAAGATTGAAGTTGCTAAAAATTGCATTATTGAGAAAATTTACTATTTTGCAGTTTATTTTATCCTCCCATTCGGCTTTGTTTACTTTTACTTGAGAAATTTCATCGCCGCCGGGAGTGCGGAATCTTGTATTATATCAGTCTTGTTACCATATATTGTTTACTGTTGGACAATTTTTGCTCTTAAAATTAAGAAAATTATGTCGGGCAAAAATAAAACTATGTACTCAAAAACGCGAATATGTGGTAGATTTGTGACCTTGTGTGGTAGATCCTCAAAAAAGTGGCAAATCTACCACAATGTGGTAGAAGTCCGGTAACTGCCAGAAACTTGAATCTGTTTAAATTCTACAGAATTTCCTCATTAATTTTATACCGATACTTCTTCTCTAGCACATTTCTCTGAATTTTTTAAATAATTTTTGAATTACTGACGTTACTGATTTTACTATATTTGGCCCATGGTTTCGCGAATATATTGATGTTTGTGTTTAAAATTTATTATCGCGCGGTGTTATATGTATAATGAGCTACATAGTTATAAAAAAAAATATTAATTATTAAATAAAAAAAGAAATATAGCCAAATATGGTCAAGAAAAGGAGTTTCTATTATTGCCACCAGTGCAAATTACAAATCCCGAAAATCTCGGGATTACTTGCAAAGAATTGCAAAACCGCCTATCTTACGGCACTAAAATTTTACAGGAGAGCGTAGAAACGGTTTTTATTTGAAGGCATTGCCTTGAGAGGCGGTATTTTCTCTGGCTGTTATTATACAAATATGTTGTTTTAA